TTAAAAAACCCTCCACGTGGGTAGTAATGCTTTCCCTGGGGGTCGGGATCTGAACCACGACCTCATCTCCCCTGCCACAGTCCTTCCTCACATCTTTGAGATGCTTCTTTGATATCAAACTAAGATATCGAGATGCATGTTCGCATCGGCCCGGGACGTCGTGGGGATTTTCAATGCTAAAGTCCTTCTTAATCACACAAGGGCCGGGGGTGATCTCCTCAAGAATTAGCGACACCACCGGTTTAGCCAGCCGGGATGTAGAAGAGGATGATGCCTTATCCTTTTTGGGGATCGTTTTGGACATTTTAGCCATGATTGTAAGCTAAAGAGTACATATTATATCAGAATGTGGTATTTTTTTACAAGAACTTGGCATTTTCCGGCGCTTAAAAAGGCGGTGGAAACAGGTGATTGAGAGAAAGAGATGAGGAAGAGGAAGATGTAAAGAAAGAGCAAAGTTTTTCTACTCAAAAGAATAGCCTCATATTTATAGAAGGGCAACGACGCTTCGACGGCACTAGTGGCCGACCAATACTGGCATGCATTCAATATTTTGGGGAAGTGGACCGACTGGACGTTTCAGTCACTTGGAGCGCCTATGTCACGTAAAGGACGTCATCATTAAAGACTTCGGGAAAGCGAGGATCAAATCGTGTTTTATAATATTATTCTAAGAAACGCGGGGACTATCTGTATTCGGTCAAAATCATATGCCCCGGATGTAGAAGCTCGAGGTTCTGCTCTAGGCCCGAGTCCGGGAGAGGTCAAGTTCGAAACCGGTGGACCAGACTCGAGCTCGAAGATAGAGTGTAATGTCCGGAGGCAGGAGTTCGAGGGATACCGAGGCTAAGTGTGCTCGACCTCGAAATAATATCGTTATAGATTTGTACCAGAGCGAGCTAGATTCCTGCTACGTCCCCAAAGTCATGGCGCAAGTCATGTAGTAGGATTGTACAATTCCCTACTAGGCGGTTAGACAGCTGTACCAAGAATATTCCCTACTGTAAATGGAAATATTCCTTATTTAGGGTTTCCCCGTTATATAAAGGGTACCCAATCATTTGTAAGATCATCTTTTACTGAGCAAAGAATATACTCTCTACTTTTTGCCTATTGTTCATCAGAATTATCCCTTAGCTTAATTGTTCTTACTTTGATTTTCCTCCTTAATTGTTCTTACTGCCCTAAGCCACCTCGAGGTCACAATCTCGAGGTCACTATTGCTAAGTAACATTGGTTTGATTAACTTTTATCTTTCATTTCTACTTCATATTTCTCTATTATTAATTGGTATTGAACTAAATGACATATCTTTAAAATGCTAATCAAGTTTAATTGTTACTCGTATTTTCGAGGTAAACACACATATCAACTTTAAACGGTTCTTCTGCTTTCCATCTTCCTTCAATTGTTTTTTCACATGATCTCTCTCATGTTCAATTTTGGTCAACCTATCTTTTAGGTGTTGTCTTATTTGTTTCGCTTCTTTCAACCGATGTTTTAAGAAAATTCATGTCTTCTTTGGCTTTTTTGTGCTTAAACTATTGTACATACTTCACATTGTTTTGTGAAGTCGCGACATAATCGTCAATCGAGGGACTTCTCGACAATAATTTTTGATTAATTGTTCGCTCTTCTGCTTTCTAAAATAGTTGTAAGTCCCTTTATTTTGTACTATACAATAAGTAATTATTAATGACAGAGTAAAATCTCATATCCTATTTAAATATTACTAATCAACAAACATTACTCTAAAGTTTGGAATCCCAAAATCTTCCACATATTGAAGTCCTCAAACTTATAGTAATCTCCATGGTGGTAAATGTTAGACCCTTGACAAAGCTGATCGGCAAGCGGCACGACAGTGGCAAGGATTTTAGCATGATGGCCTTGCCATTGGCCTATGTGCGGGGGAAAATAAACATGCAAGACAATGCGGGTGTTGTCAATGGCAACAAACTGTTGCAAGGGCAAGTGTGACGAACTACGCTTCTATTTGAGGGCTATGGTGTGACAGACTACATCAAAAATATGAGTGGGCTGCGTGCAAGGAAAGGCCAAGACCTTGACGGAACTAGGTGGGCTGGACGGAAGCTTGACAAGGCAAAACGGGAAAGACCTCGGCGCTAAAATGGGGCAGCTTAGTGTCAAGGCAGTGGCATTGGCAATGTGGTGTTGCCATGACTTAGGTAAGCGGGCTGGCACCTAAGTAAATTGTGCGCAAACGACTTAGCAACGGGAATGGCATCAAGGCTTGGTGACTTGATGCTAAAATCAGCTTGGCATTGGCAAAGTTCAGACTTGATCAAGTAGGGGCGACTTGATAAAGACAAGCAAATGTGCAACGGGAAGGCAGTGCGCGGGCAAACTTGTCATGGCATTGAATTGCGGCAAACGGGCCAAGTTCGTGGGCGATGGCAAGGCATTTTATGGCACAATGCAGCTGGATATAATGGCATTGGTGCTGGTCCAAGCCAAGGCAGGAAATTGGGGCAGCAAGTCTTGGATTGACAAAGTCAATGGTGGTTACGGGCACATGCTGTGCACATGGGCAGCAGTTGAGTTTTGTCCTAAAAGCTGGCAAGAGTTTGCACGATTTTGGGGCATGTTCTAGACATGTTCTACACATCTTTGATCATGGGGATCATGTCCTATCAGTTGGGGGATGTCAACTGAACATAGGAAACACTTTTAGGCTGACTACACTATATATATGTTTGTTAGCAGCCATAAAAACGGGCTAAGTACCTAGGGAGGGAAATAGTCAAAAATATAGGCATAGGGTTGTCTATACTAAGGCTTGAGCATGGCAAAATATGTGCCATTGCCTTGCCAAACGAGTGGCAGCACGAGCGGCCTTAGGCGGGGGCTTTTATAGGGCAGATTCGTGCACTTGTCGGCATTTTTGTGAGTTGGTGCCTGCCAAGGGTGGCGACACCTTGCCAAACTCGAGAATTTCCTTTGTAATTGATTTTATAAAAGGTTGGGAAAAGGGTTTCCCGTAAATCTGCTTGTGTCCCTTTATTTTATGCTGCCTTGAATTATTTCAAAGTGTTAAACCTCGTATGCGAAAGAAAATTGGGGAAGGCTGATGTCAAGTGGGGACTTGACTGCCGCACAACGGGCAGTGTTTCGACGGACAGAAAATGCCCCTGTGAAAACTGGTATCAGAGCGGGCCAGGTTCGTGACGAGGTCGAGACGGACATGGACAAGACTGCAAGACAAGGGGTCAATGTGCTTGTTTGTGGAAGGGACTGTCTTGGCTTAGAAATTCAGAAAAGGCAAGGAAGGCAGCGATGCAGAAATATCGAGTTTGTGGGTGCCAAAAATGAGTGTGGGTTTTTACAAATCAGTCAGTTGGCGTGCTGGATTTGCTGTGGGAATGACCGACAGGAAATGCAATGAGAAAACAAAAAATGTTGCACTTGAGGGCAAGGACAACGTAATTCTCAAACGGGTGCTGAACTTGTGATGTCTTTGCAAATGGCAGCATGTGCTGGAATATATTCGACGAGGGCGTCGAATTCAACTGGTTGGGGTGGTTTGTTAGACCCTTGACAAAGCTGATCGGCAAGCGGCGCGGCAGTGGCAAGGATTTTGGCATGATGGCCTTGCCATTGGCCTATGTGTGGGGGAAAATAAACATGCAAGACAATGCGGGTGTTGTCAATGGCAACAAACTGTTGCAAGGGCAAGTGTGACGGACTACGCTTCTATTTGAGGGCTATGGTGTGACGGACTACATCAAAAATATGAGTGGGCTGCGTGCAAGCAAAGGCCAAGATCTTGACGGAACTAGGCGGGCTGGACGGGAGCTTGACAAGGCAAAACGGGAAAGACCTCGGTGCTAAAATGGGGCAGCTTAGTGCCGAGGTAGTGGCATTGGCAATGTGGTGTTGCCATAACTTAGGTGAGCGGGCTGGCACCTAAGTAAATTGTGGGCAAACGACTTAGCAACGGGAATGGCATCAAGGCTTGGTGACTTGATGCTAAAATCAGCTTAGCATTGGCAAAGTTCAGACTTAATCAAGTAGGGGCGATCTTACAAGGACAAGCAAATGTGCAACGGGAAGGCAGTGCGCGAGCAGACTTGTCATGGCATTGAGTTGCGGCAAACGGGCCAAGTTCGTGGGCGATGGCAAGGCATTTTGTTGCACAATGCAACTGGATATAATGGCATTGGTGCTGGTCCAAGCCAAGGCATGAAATTGGGGCAGCAAGTCTTGGATTGACAAAGTCAATGGCGGTTACGGGCACATGCTGTGCACATGGGCATCAGTTGAGCTTTGTCCTAAAAGCTGGCAAGAGTTTGCACGATTTTGGGGCATGTTCTAGACATGTTCTACACGTTTTTGATCATGGGGATCATGTCCTGTCAGTTGAGGGATGTCAACTGAACATAGGAAACACTTTTGGGCTGACTACACTATATATATGTATGTTAGCAGCCATAAAAACGGGCTAAGTACCTAGGGAGGGAAATAGTCTAAAATATAGGCATAGGGTTGTCTATACTAAGGCTTGAGCATGGCAAAATATGTGCCATTGCCTTGCCAAACGAGTGGCAGCACGAGCGGCCTAAGGCGGAGGCTTTTATAGGGCAGATTCGTGCACTTGTCGTCATTATTGTGAGTTGGTGCCTGCCAAGGGTGGCAGCACCTTGCCAAACTCGAGAATTTCCTTTGTGATTGATTTTATAAAAGGTTGGGAAAAGGGTTTCCCGTAAATCTGCTTGTGTCCCTTTATTTTATGCTGCCTTGAATTATTTCTAAGTGTTAAATCTCGAATGCGAAAGAAAATTGGGCGAAGGCTGATGTCAAGTGGGGACTTGAGTGCTGCACAACGGGCAGTGTTTCGACGGACCGAAAACGCCCCCGTGACAGTAAATATGATGCTTTATGGAATGCATTGAACTTTATGAAGTATAACACTATTAATGTAAGATGAGGTTAAAGAAGAGAAAATGTGAGAGAAGTTACTTTGGTTCGCGACTCAAGGCCGAACTCCCAAGTTGACGTAGTCATCACCACAAAATATAAGTATCGTTCTTGTGCTTCATCTTAGATCCATAATTGAGGGAAAGCATCGCAGTCATCCTCGCTAATTTCGTTGCTGACTTCCTCACTACCTCCAATCTACAAGTGTCTTTTCTATAATGTGTTTAGGAGCTAGAGAGACTAATAATTTCACATCACCAGATGAAGTAAACACCCCGAATGACTTAACTTATGACCCGAAATTGGAAACGGAAGACGAAATATGGAAAATTTTGAAGAGCTCAAAAGAGCAGTGGAGATTGTAGAAATTGTCGATGCTCATGCCCACAACATTGTGGCGCTCGACTCCACTGTCCCTTTCCTCAGCTGCTTCTCTGAAATCATAGGCGACACTTTATCTGATTCACTTCAACCCATCGACTTCAAGGTCTATTCTTATCCCCCGCCACAGTTTCCTAATTACCTTGTTTTGCACCCTTTTCCCCCTCACCATGTATAGATACTGAGGTACTAGTAGTCTTAACGTTACTCAACGAAGATAGAAGTAAGAACTAAGGCGGAGCGAGAATTTCAACTTTATCGGTTCTGGATTTTGAGATCACGATTTCAAGTTTAATGACTGGGTTCTAGATTTAATATTTATATATATTTCATGAATTTAAAACACCAAATATACTGTTTGAGCAAAAGCTACCGTGTTCGGCCGAACCTATAGGTCAACTTGTGCCTCCACCCCCGTGTAAAAATACAAAAAGATGCAAGAATAACATGTTAATTTGGTTTATATACTTTCTCTATTATTTAATATGTCTACTTGGCTTATATATTGTATTAGTGGCAATAAAAGAAAATGTTAGAATAACTGTTAATTTTATAGAGAAAACATCATCGTAATGTTTACAATTTGAATAGTTGTACAAATTTAATTTCTTGAAAGTTGTTAAAGTCACAAAGAGTAGTATCAGTAAAATAGTGTCAAACATTCCAGGATGTATCAAAATGAAAAAATTGGCATATGAATTTTGATGGTTGAAGTAACTGTGTTTATACTTTATAGTTTATAATAGGAACCGAGGAGGATTTTGTTGTTCCGTAAAAAGTAATAGCTTTCTCGTGTCTTTGAAAGAGAAACTTAATGTTGAAGTTTGTGGCCATCTCATGTAGAAGCTTAAGCTGTTAGGGAACCGCCCGCTTCCATAGAACAATATCGTGTCAACGTAGACCTAAGTGGTCACACTTCTAATTATGTCTTCAACACTTAGTTTTCCGTGACTTTGCTTGGGATGATATTGAACATGACCGGATCCCTGAGTTTTCACGCAACAATTACGTTCTTATTGTACGTTTCCATTTTATATGTGATATGTCTTGGTTCTATGCTGTACTTTTCCTCCTTTACTGTTTGATCTATCAGAATAACATAGAGATAAATAAAAATAAAAGTTCCCTCGCATCCTTTTTAGGAGTGTGGTTGTGCTATAAATCATTACTTCATATTGTCTGGCCAAGGACAAGCCAAAGGTGTTCTTGTCATTTGCTCTTTTTACTTATTCATGTGGCTTTCTGTTAGCTTGTCATGATCATGGATCCAGTTCTTAGACATTATCCGTTTGCTATTTCAGCATTCTTCTTAAAGTACTGTCTGTTTCTTTCAGAGAGGCCTAAATGAAATTTGTGAACTGTATGGCTCAAGCTTACCCTTGGATGCTGTTGAAGAATCTCGTCGACGCTTTGGGTTGGAGGCGAGTGCTTCTATTTGCTTCAAAGCTATCTTACTTATTGACGACGGAATTAAGTTGAACAAAAAGCTTGACATCAAATGGCATGAAACTCTGGTACCAACAGTTGGTAGAATACTACAAGTTGAGCATGTAGCTGAAAAGATTCTTGAGAAGGTAATGAAGAATTTATATTGCTCAATATTTCTGCAAACAAGTACATGAGATATATCACTACAACACATTAGGCCTTTAACAGCGCCTAAAAAGGTGCGGCCTTTGATAAAATCTGAATTTGTAGGCTGCATATAGAACAAAAGATCTATCTGTTAATATCATTTGGCATAAGGGAGTGAAAGCTTATTCTTTTGGCATGCAATATCTCTAGAAACTTTTTCCTTTGTTGGATTTGTTAGCATCTTTCTCCTATGCTATTCTATTGCAGGGTCCAAATGGAACGTTGTGGACACTGGGTTCATTCATGGAGGCTTTCACTAAGGAATTGAAGTCATATCCTTTGGAATTTTGGTCAATATGTATCAGAGTTTATGTTTCTTTCTATTAATAATAAGTTAAGGTTCCAAAAGTTGTTCCTGACTGTTGCATACAGAAGCTGAGAAAGTTGTTACCTTTAAAAGTATTGTTGCACATCATAGTGGACTTTCAGTTAATACTGAAGTCACTCAAAAGGAGGCTGAGGAGAGCCTGAACGACGTTTTATGTGGTGAGTCTTGCAAGATTTGGGGTTCTTATGCACCATGATTGTGAATAATTCTAATAGTTTCTGTATTTCCAGCTACGAAGCCAGTCAGAATCTCAAACAAGAGCTTTGTTGATTATATCTTCATGCATGCTTTGGAGGTGGCTCAAAATTTTGACTTGCCAATGCAGATAGACACAGGGTAAGAAAGTACATATAGGGGACTTAATTTTCTTCCTATCTTCCCTCTATTTGACTAGGTTTAGAGTCTTTGAGCTTCGTGTTACATGTAAAATTTTCTTATATAAGATTAAAAGCCAAATGACAGACAACAGCAATTTGGTTTTTTAAGTACCCTCCTAGTCCCTCAAGAGTACATGGTTTTATCTTTTTCATTACAGTCTGGGGACAAGGATTTGGATCTGAGGCCAGCCAATCCCCTTAATATTCGCAATCTTCTCGAGGATAAGAGATTCACTAAGAATCGATTAGTGCTTTTACATGCATCATTCCCCTTCATAAAGGATGTGAGAAAGCACAGGAGAAATTATATTATTGATGTATTAACATATGTTACAATGAGCCCTATATATATACACACATAACATGTCCTACTCCTAATATATATTGGATTAGGGTTATTTATTTACTCCTATTTACATGACTATTCTAACACTCCCCCTCAAGCTGGTGCATATAAATCATATGTACCGAGCTTGTTACATATGTAGTTAATACGAGGACTAGTGAGGGACTTGTTGAAAATATCTGCAAGCTGATCATTCGACTTCACAAACTTTGTAGCAATATCTCCCGAGAGTATCTTTTCTCTAACAAAGTGACAGTCAATCTCAATGTGTTTAGTTCTCTCATGGAACACTGGATTTGACGCAATATGAAGAGCAGCTTGATTATCACACACAAGTCCCATCTGACTAATCTCACCAAATTTCAACTCCTTGAGCAACTGTTTGATCCAAATTAGCTCACATGTCGCCATAGCCATTGCTCGATATTCTGCTTCTGCACTAAACCGAGCAACCACATTCTGTTTCTTGCTCTTCCAGGACACCAAATTTCCTCCTACCAAGACACAATATCCAGACGTAGAACGTCTATCAGAAGGTGATCCTGCCCAATCAGCATCTGAGTATCCAACGATCTGCTCATGGCCTCGACCCTCAAACAATAAACCTTTGCCTGGAGCTGATTTTATATACCGAAGAATGCGAACAACTGCATCCCAATGACTATCACACGGAGAATCCATAAACTTACTCACAACACTCACAGAAAAGGAAATGTCAGGTCTTGTCACTGTAAGGTAATTTAATTTACCAACCAACCGTCTATATCTTGCAGCATCACTAAGAGGCTCCCCCTGTCTTGGCATAAGTTTAGAATTCGGATCCATCGGAGTGTCAACCGGTCTACAACCTGTCATTCCTGTCTCTTCAAGAATATCTAAGGCATACTTTCGTTGTGAGATCACAACACCTGAGCTAGACTGAGCGACCTCAATACCCAGAAAATACTTTAGTTTGCCCAGATCCTTAGTCTGAAAGTGTTGCAAGAGATGTTGCTTCAATTTAGTAATACCATCCTGGTCATTGCCGGTAATAACAATGTCGTCAACATAGACCACCAGATAAATACAGAGACTCGAGGCAGAATGCCGATAGAACACAGAGTGATCAGCTTCACTCTGAATCATGCCAAATTCTCGAATAACTGTGCTGAACTTACCAAACCATGCTCGAGGAGAGTGCTTTAGACCATAAAGTGACCGACGCAAGCGACATACAAGGCCACGGGACTCCCCCTGAGCAACAAACCCAGGTGGTTGCTCCATATAAACTTCATCCTTAAGGTCACCGTGTAAAAAAGCATTGTTAATGTCCAGCTGATACCATGTGAGAAAGCACGGGAGAAAATATATTATTGATGTATTGACATATGTTACAATGAGCCCTATATATATACACACATAACATGTCCTACTCCTAATATATATTGGATTAGGGTTATTTATTTACTCCTATTTACATGACTATTCTAACAGTTTACTTGGTTCATATTTGCTATGTATCCTAATGATTATCTACTCAAGATCTATAATATCTGTATAGATTGGACTTTCAGCTTCAACAATCGCTTCGAGTTTTGGGAAGGCCATTTCAGAAAACAAGGAGCTTGAAGATTATAAGCCTGAAGATATCTCTCTATCCCTTCTGCGAATGATTTCATACAATATTGGTCAGGTATCCCATAGTTAAGATCCCTACAATTCTATAAAGCATTTACTTCAAGTTTGATATATAGGGTTAAGTACATTTTAGTCTATCCTGTTTTGTCCGCAAGTGACAGTTTGTGACAAATTTTGTAAATAATAGATCTCATAGAATGGAACTGGAAGAAGAAACCGTTTGTTTGCATGCTTCTGTAGTTCACATTCTAGAACATCAACATTTTACTATTACATATGACCGACATCTTGTTAAAAGTTAACCTACAATAAATAAACAAGATGAGTGCCTGAATAATTGAGAATCAGGCAAATTTCTTCCCTTGATTTATCCTTTCAAGTTCTCCATAGCAAGATACATGTATTATCAGTTGTTCGATTATTAGCTATATTTACTTTATCCTAAAAAGGAAAAAAGTGGTTAGCTATATTTCTGATTCCTTCCTTTTAATGAGGAAATGAGTCATTGCTTGATGTACTATTATATGTTGCCTAACCATGAAATTTATCTGTACATTTTCTAGATAGCTTATCTTAATGCACTGCGTTTTGGACTCAAAAGGATATTCTTTGGAGGATTTTTCATACGAGGTCACGCTTACACTATGGACACAATCTCTTTTGCTGTTCAGTTCTGGTGAGAAACTGATATTTTATACTAGGCATCATTATTTAAACACAATCACTAGGTCTTTTATAAGTTCTTTCTTTCCTCCAAAGCATGTGCTTATTCCTTTCTTTCATTATTATCTCTTCATTAATATCACCCTTGCACCAAATCTTTCAATAGGTCCAAGGGAGACGCACAAGCTATGTTTTTGCGACATGAAGGTTTCTTGGGAGCTCTGGGTGCATTTATGAGCTACGAAAAGCATGGTTTAGATGACCTGATGGTCCATCAGTTAGTGGAAAGATTCCCGATGGGTGCACCATACATTGGAGGGAATGTTCATGGCCCACCGCTGGGAGATTTGAATGAGAAGGCAAGTATTACTTTAAAGTTTTAAACTCTCGTGCACTAAGTAATGGGTTTGAGTGTGATAAGTTTTATGTATGACTTAGACTGTTATCAGTAGCGTCCTTCAACAATTTGAAATGCCCTGAAAATGTTCCGTAAAGTGACTGATTTGACAATATAGTTCTTGCTCTCGAATGGAGTTTCTAAGCTGCTTCTTATGTCACAGATTTTTGCAAGTAGCTCTGAATGCAAGACATGAAAACTTTTGTTTCATGAGGAGTATAATTTCTTTTTGTGTTAAATAAGGAATAAATGCCTAAAGCTACAAAGCATATATTCTGTGGGGTAACCACTTTGTGATAATGATAGCAACGGTGGGAAAATGGTACCCGTTTATGACCAAAAATACATACAAGTAGAATAATGGGAAGTGGCATGGGAAAAGGCACATGAAGTTGGCTATATAAGTTGAAGCTTGATATGTTGAGTAAAGGTTTCCAGTTACCTTACTAAACTGACTCAGTCCAATATACCCCGCAATTAATATGAATAATCTTGTTGTTAATGCTGTTTTGAGGATAGGTAAAGAGTTGCTTGTCAAGATGGTTGGAGAAACATTCCTTCTGTAATTAATTGCTTTTTCTCCTCCTCCTCCATAGTTGCTTGACGAGCTTTATTTAATTTTGAACTTATAGAAGGTAAAGTTAGCAGGTAAGAGGTTTAATATTTGAGGATATTGATCTTTTCCTTCTTCTTCTCCATAGTTTCTTGACAAGCTGTATTGAATTTTGAATTTATAGAAGTTGAAATCAGCAGGTAAACTGGTTTAATTTTTCTGGGAATTGATTTATTTTTGGAGACTTCTTCTTTTACCATTCTGATAGGGGAGTTGATAAATCAGATTAGTGAACTATAAGGTGTACAGTCCCGCTTTTCTAGTTTACTCCACAGTTGCTTGACAAGCTGTATTGAAATCTGAATTTATAGAAGCTAAAGCTAGCAGGTAACCTGGTTCAATTTTCGGGGGTTATGATCATATAGCTTGAAATTTGTTCTCTCATTAACACTATTTTTTTATTTCAGATATCGTGGATGGAGAAATTTGTACGAAAGGGAACTGAAATTACTGCTCCTGTTCCAATGGCTCCACCAGCTACTACCGGCCTTGGAGGCTTTGAAGTTCCATCATCTAAAGGAGTTCTTCGACCTGATGCGAGCAAATTAAATGTTGGGGTACTGCATCTGGTCCCATCTTTGGAGGTTTTCCCACTTTTAGCAGATCCAAGAACGTAAGTGATTACTGAAAGATGATCTTTTTGGCAGATCTTTTGCATATTTTGTGTGGTTCAACAAAAGGTGCAGCTCTTTAGCTGAGCTGGTTTTTCATAATTCCTAGTTGCAGTCGTTGTCTTTCCGTACATTCTGGTTATTTTTTGTTACGTTTCTTACTTCTAGTTAGCTTCTTCGTAATTTTGTTCCATTTCTTTGTTTCCTTCGAAGGGGCTGTCACTGTTTATTTATCTTGGTTTCCTGACTTGGTTAGCTCGCAGCGTACTCTCATATTAAAAGTTTTAGAAATGCCCCATTCTTTTCCAAATCTTTCATCGTTTGTGTAGATGTAGAGGGTACTTGACAGGGCAAAAATTGTATTACTATTTCTGGGCACTACTGGTTTGAAGAATATTGTGTTTTTAAGTATTTCTAGAACAATGGTTTGAAGAATATTGTGTTTTTTAACCAGAGTTTTGAATTGGTCTTTTGCAGATACGAGCCAAATACCATAGACCTCTCAGATCACGGTGAACTAGAGTAAGTTAAATTACACACTAAGAACTTGCTTTATTTTTTCTGTAGTAGTCAAACAAGCCTGCTTTCTATTATTTGGTCCATTATTTCTGATTCTTAGACTAAAATTCAGCTGTTCTGTAGGTACTGGTTCACTGTATTATCTGAGCATTTGTCGGACCTTGTTGACAAGGTAAAACATTGACCATTTAATCATGTCAAAATCCTTGTTTCAGCCCAAGAGAGGAAGACTGCAGTATTTTTTAAATGCCTCCACGAAAGCTCCTTTGGTAAAACACAGTGGCAGCCCAAGGAGGAGGCTTGATGTATATTATCTTGTTAGAAAAAGATGTAAAGGTTGACTTGAAAGTTCTAATAGGGTTAAAGCCTTACCTGAAATCTTTCTTGTTCAGGCAAAAACTAGGTTTGAGAGGTTAAAATTGAAGATTTCCATCTCTTCTTGTCCCTGCCCCTAGGTCGAGGAACTAATTTGTGCTTCAACTGTTCATTCAATTTCATAAAATGTCATACCCAATCTTTTGATTGTTTTGAACAATAAAGGGAAATAATTGTCATTTGTTTTGAATTGTACGATGTGCATCAAACTATTTATAATTGTTCTATACTAACTTGCAAAGTCTCCCATATTTTCATGGTTTGAGAAGCTAATACTTGAATTTCAGGCAGTAGCTAGTGAGGGTGGAACTGACGATGCAAAAAGAAGGGGTGATGCATTTGCTCGGGCATTTTCAGCACACTTGGCTAGGTATTATTTGTATTCCCTGTTCCATATCCATCTCTAGATGTTTTTCCCCCTATTGTTATGTAGTCCTTTGAGTTTATTGATCCTGTAATAACTATGTTAATTAATCTTGTAATAATTTTTTGTTCTTCTGTAGGACATTTGTGAGTTTATTGATCTTATATAATACAGTTACGACTATCATCGCGACCGCCATCCACTGCCAACCATCTCTGCTAGCTTTTTGAGTGTGTTTCATCAAAGAAAACAATTTATATAACATCACGTTAATTAATATATTTTGTACTATTTTGTGGATATAATATTTATTTGTAATTTCTGTGAATTCTATAGTAGTTTTTAAACAAAGATAAACTACCCACATTCAGATACTGAAAACACAGTCATTTATTCAGTGTTTAGGTCTAAATGCTATAATATTCAAATGTCTATTCAGATTAAGATATCTTAATCTTAATGAAAATAAACAGGACCTAAGGCTATATCTCTAAGATAAAGAGCGGAACTACTTCACTCTTAGCTCATAAGATAATTACCTTAACTCTAGATCTTGAAAAGAGAAATTCAAAAGTGGAAGAACTAACTTTGTTAGTGAAAAATCAGGAGTGTATAGAGCTAATAGGAGTGTTAACACTTACCAATAGTATTTGTAAAGTTGCTTTAAAAGACTATCTATTTTGTTAACAGATTGATGGAGGAACCTGCAGCTTATGGAAAGCTAGGACTCGCCAACCTTTTGGAGCTAAGAGAAGAATGCTTGAGAGAGTTTCACTTTTTTGATGCATACCGAACCATTAAACAAAGGTATCTTCATATGGAAGGACATATTCTTGTTCTATTATCTTGGAAGCAAATATGCTTATCGTACCAGCTCCATGGAATATTTTACAGGGAGAATGAAGCTTCACTTGCAGTTTTACCTGATCTTCTGCTGGAGCTTGACAGCATGACTGAGGTATGTATTTTCGCATATTTCCTTTGTTACTTTTTCTTCCCTTTCTCCTCGTTGAAGTAGGTTAGGTAGATCATTAAATATATGCTTTGTATTTTTATTTTATTTGCTAATACATCTAGTTTCTATCTTGTAGGATATGAGACTACTTACACTAATCGAAGGTGTTCTTGCTGCGAATATCTTTGATTGGGGATCACGTGCCTGTGTTGATCTCTATCACAAAGGAACAATTATTGAGATCTACAGAATGAGTCGCAAGAAGATGCAAAGACCATGGCGGGCAAGTGAAAGGAAAAAATATATTAATGTTGTTTTTTTTATTACTGCTAGAAAACGTGCATTTGAATGCCATTCTTGTGTTCAGGTGGATGATTTTGATGCTTTTAAAGTGAGAATGTTAGGGTCTGGAGAGAGAAAGCCTCAGCCACATAAAAGAGCGCTGCTTTTTGTTGACAACTCGGGTGCGGATATTGTTTTAGGGATGCTTCCTCTTGCAAGGGAACTTCTCCGGCGTGGGACTGAAGTATGGTTTGCCTTTTTATGAATATAAATTTTAGAATGTTTTGCCTTTAAATGAATCTAAGTTTTTGAATGTGTTGCCTTTTAAATGAATCTAATTTATTCAATGTTCTTAACAAAAAAAATGTTTTGCTTCATGGTAAATTACCTTACATTTCCATTATCTAAGCTTTATTAAATTAGAGATACTATTTCACATCTGATAATGTACAAGATAAATGTTCATTTAACACGTAATAACCACTTTCAATTGCTACCTTGTTTGCTCTGTATGATCCTGTCCTATCTCCTATCGTATAAGCTGAACTTTTTAGGTTCCAAAAATCATATATTCAGAAATTTTATGCAGGTTGTGCTGGTAGCGAACTCACTTCCTGCACTAAATGATGTTACTGCAATGGAGTTGCCCGATATTGTTGCTGAGGCTGCTAAGGTATGTTGATTTTCAAGAAATTGCTTCACAAAGTACAGGGAAAAAATCAGAGCTATAACCATAGTTTTTTTCTTCTCACTTTCTCTCTGTGTATGGAATTTTATTTTTAATAAAGTTCTCTCTCTTGGTTATCAAAATGTTTTCCAAGAAATTGCTATTAGTTATAATGAGACATATAGCTCCTCTTGCTGAACTCCTTCGCCTTTTTGGAGAAAGAATGCTTTTTTACCTTGTTCTCTAAAAGAAAATGAATCTATGTACTATTAAGGCATATTTGTAGTAAAATGTCTTAAAGCTTTCTCTCTCCCTTCCCCTCTTTTCTTTGTACATAATACCTCATTAGCTCGGTAATATTGCTTTGGCTTATAGCACTGCGATATTCTTCGAGGGGCAGCTGAAGCAGGAGGCTTACTTGTGGATGCAATGAGTAACATCCAAGACGGCTATAAGGAAGATACGCCCTCTGTTCCTCTGATGGTTGTGGAGAATGGATGTGGCAGTCCATGCATAGACTTGAGGCAAGTGAGCTCAGAGTTAGCAGCTGCAGCCAAAGATGCGGATCTGGTACAGTGCTCTGCTCCTTTCTTTTATACCCTAAACGTACAAACTATATCATTCAGCAAATAAGCACAACTCATGAGGATGTGTTTTTTTTCTTCTTTTTTTGGTGATGCAGGTAATTCTGGAAGGGATGGGCCGATCTTTGCATACCAACTATAATGCAAAGTTCAAATGTGATGCTCTAAAGGTAATGATTCTACCTGTCTCAGAAAACATTTTAAAGATGGTTTCTGCATATCTTCATAGATCTAGATCTCGTGGATATCTAATGGAGATTCGATAAAGTACCTTCCATGAATGAATAAGTTAAACTGAGCTTTGTTTCATATTTTATTTAGGCATGATCTCCTATTATTGAACAGATTAAGAGCTCATAAACATTTGGTACTTTGAATATGTGGGACGTGGAATACTGTTAAAAGTATAAAGCGCTCTCTTTGTTCCTCGTTTTCTTTGACATGCTGTATGTGATTTTGCAGCTTGCTATGGTGAAGAATCAGCGGTTGGCACAAAAGTTGGTTAAAGGGAATATTTATGATTGTGTATGTAGATATGAACCAGCTAGTTAAATCCTTCCCTTTTCATGTAGTTCTATTAATTTCTGCGCACAGAACAGTCACCCCATACTACGGTTTGAGGTTGATTATAAGCGGGCGCCTCGGCAACGATGATCAGTGGTCCCATTTTCTGAGATGCTAACGAGCATCATTATAGATATAAACTTTCAGAAATTGCATTCTCATGTTTAGCCAACTGCTTAAGAATTCGTTTCTGGATAGGTTTTGTTAAGCTTAATGCATTAATCGTTTTATTGTACATTGTGTTACTAAATCCAATGGAAGTCGTAAGATATTCTTTTCATCTCGCCTTTTGTTTTCTCTTTCTCTATTTTTTCTTTAATAAGGATGGACATTGAATTTGTGGAGTTAATGGAATTTCGACTGGTTAAGTTCGATCGCTTGGAAGAATAATTAAAGGAAATTTTACCTCCTATAGCAAAGGTATAAACCTTATTTATTATAAATCAAAATTCTTTTAAAATATCATTTTCTATATCTACCTTTTATATCTTATAGCAAAATAAGTATTTAGGGTATATACTACCATTGGGGTATGAAATAAGGCATGAAATATGCTATTTATGTTTTTCCTCTCTCTTAAAGAGCTGGACATACCTATTTTTAAGGTGATTGTCATTACTGTATTCATGAATACATGACGCGAATACATGTGAATACATGCGCGTACAGCTGGACTGCCCTGATTTTTAGGCGCAGCGAATACACTACCGTAACAGCTTAATAGTAGCTATAGGAAGTAATTATGTATATTGTAGCTATAGGAAGTTAGTAGTTACTAAACAATATTGGTTTCTGAAAATTCCTCGTAATTAAATGACTGTAACAAGACAAAATGTATTTATCCTCGTAACATATGGCTTTGGCGGTTGTTTTTTAAAAAAAAGTTCTTTATTAGTACTTTTAACTTAAACTAAGAGTAGTTGACATTTCTCCAAAATCATCAAACCATGAAACCAAAGATTCACTTTTGTCCAATTCTCAATGTGTGATATGAACTGAGCTTAACAGCAGAAATTAAAGAGAAGAAGGCAGGAAAGGCAATGAAACAGTAAAATGAAGAAGGAAAAAAAGAAGAAAAAACAGAGAAATGCGATAAAATGAGAGCAGCAATTAAGGATAGTGTGTATTTTTCATATCTGAAGAAGAGAACAACATTACAATTTATAATATGTCACCCTTAATTGACCTAGCTAATGCTGTACGGACAATGCCCAGAAATGGCAACAAAGCTGGACCTAATGTGCTTGCCTAGTCTAAATGTGTGGGGTGAATGTGTAATTACAGTAACTATAACTTAAAAGTAATTGGGACTAAACTAACTATTACGCAAACTTCTTCTAACCTCCTTCCCAACTAACTATAACGACCAGGTACTCCTGCGCAAGCACAAGGTACCATCACCCCAAGCGTCCTGCAACTGGATTCGTATCAGATCCCCCCGTTAAAATCTTCCTTGTCCTCAAGGAAGGAATGTAGGGAACCTGATTTTGAGAGAATGGTAATCTTCCCAAGTAGCTTGATCTGGTGCTGTCTTATCCCATTGAACCAACACTTGCGCGACAACTTTGTTCCTCTTTTGGATCATCCTTCTGTCAAGAATTTGTTGAGGTTGAGGGCAGTATAGGCTGGAGATGTCAATTATGGGAGGGTGTGAAATAGTGTCAGGGAGCTTATAGCAAGGTTTAAGCTGAGAGACATGAAATGTGTGATGAAGTAGGAGCTGGGATGGCATGGATAGCTTATATGCCACACTACCAATCTTTTGCAAGACTTGGTAAGGACCATAATACTTTGCTGAGAGTTTAGAAAAATGAGTGCCTGAAAGTGTCACTTGCCTATAAGGCTGTACCTTGAGGTAAACCCAGTCCCCTTCCTTGAATTGTCTATCACTCCTATGTCTATTAGCTTGATCAACCATTCTCTGTTGTGCCCTTTGTAAATGATATTGTAACAGCTGGTACTTGAATTCTCTTGTCAGCAAATTTCTGTCCACTTCTTCCATGGTTGAATCCCCTGCGATATATGGTAAGTGAGATGGTGGAGGTTGACCATATAAGGCCTCATAAGGGGTGGTTTGAATAGAGGAGTGAAAGGTGGTGTTGTACCACCACTCAGTTGCTGCTAGGTAAGAGGACCAATCCTTTTGAGAATCCGAACAAAAACACCTGAGGTAAGTCTCCAAATATCTGTTAACCACCTCTGTTTGTCCATCAGACTGTGAATGGTAAGCTGTAGAAGTGCTGAGAGTGACCCCACTCATGGAGAATAACTCCTGCCATAGCTTACTAGTGAAGATAGGATCCCTATCACTCACTATGTCTTCAGGCATCCCATGTAATCTGAATACATGTTCCATAAAGAGCTTAGCAATATCAGAGGCAGTATAAGGGTGAGCCACTCCTATGAAGTGAGCATATTTGGTCAATCTATCTACCACCACCCATATCACTGTCTTCCCTTTGGCCTTGGGCAACCCTTCAATAAAATCCATGCTAATACTGCTCCAAGCTAATGAGGGAATCTTGAGTGGTTGTAGGAGACCAGGATAAGGTACTGTCTCATATTTGTGCCTCTGGCATACATCACATTCCTTGACATACACCTGAACATCATCTTTAATCCCTTTCCAGTAGAAGAGTGCAGCTATTCTCCTGTAGGTGTGATCTATGCCTGAATGACCTCCAGTAGGGGAATCATGCCATAGTTTCATGATCTCTTTTCTCAGTTGTTCATCAGGCCCCACTACTAACTTTCCATTTCTTCTTAGCTGGTTATGCACAAAGGTGTACCCTTTTGATTCTCCCCCTTCCCTCTTGAGGGTTTCAATAATTGCTACAAGCTCATCATCTAACTCCCAAGTCTTCATTATCTGATCCAACAAATTAGTCTTGATAGTGGAGAGTGTCAAGGCTGCCAATTCTACCAATGGCAGTCTAGAAAGAGCATCTACCACCTTGTTCTCCCTTCCCTTTTTGTACTCAATCACAAAGTCATATTGCATGAGTTTAGTTATCCATTTCAGTTGTGATCCTGTGTGCAACTTCTGTTCCAGGAGAAATTTCAGTGCCTTTTGATCTGTTTTAACTGTGAAGGGCCTGCCAGTTAAATATTGTGACCATTTGTTTATTGCCATGACTAAGGCCAACAGCTCCTTATCATACAATGACAAGGCTTGGTGCTGTGGGGATAAGCCCTTGCTTAGGTAGGCTATAGGCTGACCTTTCTACATCAATACAGCCCCTATTCCCATGCTGCATGCATCAGTCTCCACCACAAATGGTATAGAGAAATCAGGCAAGGTTAGAACTGGTGCAGAAGTCAAGGCATTCTTCAAATTGTTGAAGGCTTCAGTAGCCTTGGGTGACCACTTAAGGTTGTCCTTCTTCAATAGATCAGTAAGGGGTTTGCTAAGAACTCCATACCCCTTGATGAACCTTCTGTAGTAGCCTGCTAGCCCCAGGAATCCCCTTAGTTGCTTGAGACTAGCTGGTTCTGCCACATCTGTACAGCTTCTATCTTTTTGGGATCAGTAGCTACTCCTTCTGCTGAGATATAGTGTCCTAGGTACTCAACTCTGGTGGCTGCAAACACACACTTGCTCCTTTTAGCAAATAGTTGGTGTTGTATCAGTAAATCAAAAGTAATTCTGAGGTGGTGCACATGCTCCTGCAGGTGCTTGCTGAACACCAGGATGTCATCAAAAAACACTACTATGAACTTCCTGAGGCGTGCTTGGAAGATATGATTCATCAAACTTTGGAAACTGGAAGGTGCGTTTGTGAGACCAAAGGGCATGACTAAGTACTCATAATGTCCAGAATGAGTCTTAAAAGCTGTCTTCTGGATATCTGAGGGTGCCATTCTAATTTGATGATAGCCTGCTCTCAAGTCTATCTTAGAGTAGATCCTTGAACCCCCCAGCTCATCCAATAACTCTTCAATAATTGGAATGGGGAACTTGTCCTTTATAGTGAGCTTGTTCAAGGCCCTGTAGTCCACACATAGCCTCCAAGAGCTATCCTTCTTTCCCACCAATACTACAGGAGAGGCATAAGAGCTGGCACTGTATTGAATTATGCCTTGTTGTAGCATCTCTAACACCATCTTTTCTATTACATCCTTCTGGAGAGGAGAATATCTATAGGGTCTTGAGTTCACAGGAAAGCTGCCCTCCTTTAGAGGAATATGGTGGTCAAACACTCCTCTTGAAGGTGGTAGCTGTCTTGGTTCCTGAAACAGCTCATGATACTCTTCTAGTGATGCTTGCACTTGAGCTGGTTCTTCCTCCAAACTGTTATCCTTCTTCTCTTCAGCAGGTGATGAAGGACATACCCTGATCATAAAGATTTGGGCATCATAAGCAGTAATGTTGTTGAAAGGTTTGACCTCTACAGTTTTAAAAGAGGGCTGGATGCCCTGTAGAGCAACCTGCTTGCCCTGATACTCAAACCTCATATATAGCTTCTCAAAATTGATTTGAATATCCCCTAGTTTACTCAACCACTGAATTTCCAGCACCACATCACAGCTTCCTATGGGGAGTACTAGAAAGTCATCTTGAAACATAACACCCTGCATCAACCATTTGAACCCCTGGCTTCCCTTCACTGATTGTATAACTCTTCCATCAGCTACTGACACATCTTGAGGACTAATCTGATAAACCTTGCATCCAATCCTCTGAGCTGCCTTCTCATTGATGAAATTATGTGTGGAGCCACTATCAATGAGAACATTGATTGGTTTGTGTTCAGTGAACCCTTGGACTTTCAAAGTTTTGTACCCTCTAGAACCCTGCAGGGCTTCTAAAGAAATCTCACAGCTTTCTATAGCCTCTTCTTCTTGACTATGATCTGTGATGCCCTCTTCAAGTTCTACCTCTTCAAGGCTAGTTGAATCTGTTTCCTCAATCTCCAAGGAATAAATCTGCCTCTTTGCTTTACACTTATGCCCTGGCACAAATTTTTCATCACAGAAGAAACACATTCCTTGAGCCCTTTTTTCATCCATCTCAGCTGGAGTGAGTCTCCTTCTCCTACTGTTGTCAAAGTGGGCAGTGACTGGCCCCTTGTTTGCAGTTACAGTTCCTTTAAAAGGTCCATTAGATCCTGATCCTACAGCTGCTTTAAAGGTAGAATGATGAACTGCAGTTTGCCCCTTGATGGCTTTACTTTGGGCAGCAAAGCTGGCTTCCTGTAGCCTAGCCAAATAATAAGCTTGAGGCAGGCTACAAGGGTTCCCTACTCTAACAGCATCTCTGAGCTCAGGTTTCAGGTTGTT